CCCCCGGGGGGATTCCCTCCCCCCCGAAAAAAACAAAAATTTTTTTTTTTTTTTGGGCAAAAAAAAAAAGGGGGGGGGGGGGGGGGGGGGGGATCGTTAGTTATTAGTCGTTTTCAGGGAGGAAGAAAAGGGGGCCCTTCTTCCAGACTGAGCAACACTACTGCTGTTCCTCCATGCATGCTGTACCCTACAGACAACCCACAGCATCAATAGAGAGAGAGAGAGGGCGACGTAAGCTAAGCCAATAAACCTCTCGAGATCATAGCAAGCGTTGCACAACCGTCATACCCGTAGGACCCCCTCCCCCTGCCCAGAGCCGGTGGCAAAACAAGCCTATCGTGTAACAATATACATAAAACAAAAAAAGCGAGAGTGCGATATGGTATGCATCATTTGGTCGGTCGGTCGGTGGTTCCAGAAGGACAGCACACCCAAGGGGCTAATAGGGCCGATGTGTCGTACATAACGCGGCCGTTCGCGGGATTTCTAGACAGGGGGGGGGCGGGGGGGCGGGGCAACACAAGCCTATGGTGTAACAACACACATAATAAATCGAGAGTGCGATATGACATGTATGTATCATTTGGTCGGTCGGTCGGTCGGTCGGTCTCACGTGCAGCGGTGGTTCCAGAAGGGGGTGCCTCCCGTCGCGACCTTCGTCCTGCTCTTCTCGCCGCCAGCCTCCACTCGGCAGTACGACTGAAGCTTTCCTCCAGCCCTTTCAGATGAAGCAGCGACGTTTCATGTTGCCGGGTATGAGTTAACAGGGCAGACCTTTTCATGTGTAGTAACGTTTCATGTTGCCGGGTTTGTGTTAACAAGGGTCGAGCAGTAGAGGAGGGGAGAGGATATGGCAACAAGAAGAGGAGAAGATAAGGATAGCAGCAAAGGGTGTGGTGTAGTGCCGTGGTGCTTTGTGTAACGGGACACGCCAACTGCTGTACCAAGTCGTTTCGCCTCAAACAGTAGCTCAGACGCGAAATACCACGTTGTTTCGCCTCAAGCCGTCACACATAAACAGGAGCAGGAGGCACACAGAGGGGTGAGAGGACTGAGACTGATTTCGCCTCCGTTGCACATTCATTTCATTCCTCCGTTGGTTTTCTTGCCGAACTCACTCAAGACGGTTACGGTCCATTAACTTTGTCAAACACAAACAGAGTATGCCCCCCCTCCCCGCCCCTCGGTGACTCGTCCGATGAGGACCCGGCGTGCCGGCGTTCTCCGTCCCGATGCGAGGTCACTGGTCTACCGACTACGGCATGCACGACTATGAGCACACACACACACCCCCAAACTTACCACGACGAGGCCCCGTCAGCGATGCCGGCGAGGCAACCGCTGACGACCGTGACCGTGAAGAGGAACTTGCACGACTCCCCGTGCGACTGCGACAGAACCAGGCCCTTGACGGAGGACAAAGGGATCTCGTACCGAGGACCGGAGAGCGTTCTTGCCCACGACATCTGCAAACACAAAATGATAGATAGGCGTACCGTATGTTTGCATGAAAGGGGTGTAAGAGAACGTTCTTGCCCACGACATCTGCAAACACAAAATGATAGATGGGCGTACTGTATGTTTGCATAAAACGGGTGTAAGAGAACGTTCTTGCCCACGATATCTGCAAACACAAGAAAAAGTAGATAGATGTCGCCCAACAATGGGTAGCGGCCACCCAATGCACAAAAGGGGTGTACGAGAACGTTCTTGCCCACGACATAAGAAACAAACACAAAAAAAAAGACGTCGCCAACAAAAAGTAGCGGCCAACGAATGTATGCAAAAACAGGTTGTCAGAGAGCATTCTTGCCAACGACCTCTGTCAATAATAAATGATTCACGTTCGCGAACAACAGTAGCGGCCACCGAATGCACGCAAGAAAGGGGTGTAAGGTGTAAAGGGAGACAAGGTTAGACATGGTATCGTGTATGCATCCCGTTCACAGCCAATTGAAACACGGGTGCGTACTGTACGTGTTCAACGCGATGTGAACGGATCTCCACAAGATCCGGCAAGGCGTAACGTCCCTTCCTCGCTACGGAAAAAAGCTTCCGCCGTACAAGTACAACAACGCCCAAATTACTGCTGTAGACAAACGAAAATCAAGAACGCGGCCTCGCGGTTACAGTCTACAGTCTGCTGTACCCCTCATACCTTCGTCCCATGCTACGCCCCCCCCCCCCCCCCCCCCCCCTAAAATT